AAGGCAAGCGAAAATGCGACTCTTAAGAAGCAGTTAAGAAGAAAAATTACGTACTCGTCTGGCTTTCCAGATTCTCCCTCGAACTCATCGTCAGATAAAGGCAGTGGGTAGGGCATGGTTCTAGGGACTCCCCTCATTATAGGTGGCCATCCATAACTTTCCTCAAGGGGGAAAGCGTTGGGATTAGGGTTGTGGCTAGGTTATGGTTAAAGTTGGAACCGGATAAAAGATGCAGCTCGAGGAATTTAGGACAAAATCGCCTACTCAACGGTCCAAACGGGTACTGCTGGCACAAGCACACTAAGTGGGCGAACTCATGAAATCTCAACAGACATTTCAAAATGCGTTTTCGTTTCGAAAATAGTATATAAGTGAGGTTGTAAACCCAATCGTCATGCAGCATAATTCTATAAAAATTGAGTTACCCCAGGATGACAGGTTTCGAACAAACTTCTTTTTGGTTTCATATTAAAACCATACTCCGTAAAAAATGGCTACATAAGTAGAATGTTTTTTTCATTTATTTTCGATGCCCTTAAAAATTCAACTATATTTCGTGGTAAACTTGCAGAAAAATATTCATTCTTCTGCTCATCCAGCAGAAAACTATGTCTTCTTTTAATTTTATACTCGAAGGAAGGGGATAATTTGGTTTTATAAAACTTTTCTAATTCCAGAATAATTCTAAACCCAATTTGCAGTTTCGTTTGCATTCAGGGTTTCAAAATTGCAAGCCGTATATTTTCTGCGTAGGAAAACCATACATTCCTCTGCGACAATAAAAAAGACCATGTTGGGTTCATAAAATTTATCAGTGGATTTGAGCCATATTGTTAACTGTACAAGCCGCATTAATAATTTCAGAGACATGGCGTTTTATGAATAGCCATTTTACGGTTTTAACTAATCGCACAATTAGAAACGTTTTATAACCAAATTATATCCTTCCATTGATCATGAAATTTGAAAAAACCGCCATTTTCTGCCGGATGAGCAAAAGAATGAATACTTTTCTGCATTTTTTCCATGAATTATAATTGAATGGATAAAGGCATCGAAAATCAATGAGAAAAACTCATGTTACTTATCAGTCATTTTTTGCAGAGTGCGGTCGAAAAGAAGTTGGTTTGAAAGCCGTCGTCCTGATGAATTGGATTATTATAGATTTATGCTGCACGATGTTTAGTTTTACAAGCCTACTTAATTAATCTTTTCGAAACGGGAACGAATTCCGAAATTTTAGCTGACATTTCATGAGTTAGCCCATCTACTGTATGCCAACAGAACATTTACCGGATACTGCTTTCAGTGACGAGTTCGGGTGAAAAGCCGAAACCTTGGGCTAGTGAAACATTTGTTCTCCTGGATCCAAGACAGTCTACCGGATGATAAAAGTCGGCATTTATCTAAGCAGAACTTAAAATTGAGCACCGCAATAACAGTTCACTCTGAATGTGTTGACCACGGGCAATTCCCACCTTTTTGACATAGGCATAAACTTTGACCCATGACTTGGAAGCCGAGGTACTTTGCCCAAAGAAAGGAGTCTGACGAAATGACCACCAATATTGGTCTTCTGACCCCTCAAGTGACTTTGTCGGGTTTAAAAGACTGTCAGCACCAAAGTCTCTCCCGATTGCTTACGGCTAATCTACTGCTGGCGTGTATTTTCAGCGCGATCACGTTTTCATTCGCTAACGCATGTCAACAGTATGCTTATACTTATTCGTTCTTTCTAATAAAACTCGTTCACAGTTTGCCTATCGACTTTGTTCTACGCGTTCTCCAGTAAACCCACAAGCAGGGGTGAATTTCGATGCGCACCCAATGCTCCAACGCCCTACCCGAAGTCTAGTTTAATAGTTTTTTCCGGTGACGATTGTCCGTTCCCACTTAAAATCTCAACCCTAGCTTAATCATTCATTTGCGGGATTGCGGGTGAATCTAGAAGCAATTGCTTTTTAGTAAACAGCGAGAGGTACTCAAATGCCAAAACACGAAGAGGCGTTCGCTGTGAAAGGCTTGGTGGAGGACTGACGTTTCGAGTGATGTTTCGCTCGTCCAGTTTCAAAGACCGGGAGGTCATTCGCACGGCTATCATTACATGGCGCACTTTGTTTAATGCATAGCACGCCAACACTGCATCGGATCTGCATTTCTCTCTGGCCTGTATCGTCCCACTCTTGTTGACCGCGGAGAAGGCCGGCGACGCCGACTGTTTCACGCCGTGACAGGCACCAGTCCAGAAGATTCATAAAACCCAAATAGAAGGGTGGCAAACAAGTGTGATAGTTGACTGAGTAGTCGGTAGACACCCAGGCTTTTGCACCCACCTTAAATTGTGATCCTCGCCTCGGCCAGCAATCTGAATGGCGTCAAGGTTGAAGATGTACCGCATATGCGCGGTGTGGGTATCTATCTCAGACTTTGAGTCCAACCTTCGCATCGCCAACTGGTGTTCACGCATTTGTGTTTTGTACCCATCAGCCAGTTTTTCCAACGTATTTGCACATCCTGCAGCTGACCGAAGTCGGTAGACAACGAACGACTTCTCTTGTTTAGGGTTAGAGTCTCTTGGACGCTTCCCTTTCCTGGGAACTGCTGAGTCGGGGCTGTGGGAAACTACTATTCCAAGAGGAAAATTAAACAAAGGGACTTCGGGGACTCAATGATGGACCGAGCACCTCACAGTTGAGTCATGCAGCGGCAGACTATCGACGAAACACGTATCTGTTCTCGGTTACCCTCTATTAAGAGGAACTGTCATATATTAAAAGTGCTCGACTCACTAGAGGACCGATATAACATCGGAAAAAATTATTGGCATTGATAGTTTGTTATTACCGATAAAGATAAGGGAGACTGGAATGGCTATTTCTGGCTTATTGTCCGTCGTCAGCCGGTCACACCCAACACCGAAGTGTGCAACACCCGAGACTCGAAATTGCGACGCCTCTTACCACTGGGCCACGAGCCCCTTTGTCTTTATCACGCGCAGCTGTGCGCCTGCTGGTTGGGCTCGAGAGAGAACCCGTAAGACACAACGGAACGAGTGAGTTCCGTAAAGAACGATCGGTGAACGGCCCCCTACCATTCCCATTGATCCTACAGAAAGGCTCTGCTGAACTGCACATGCCTTAGCAAAAAATAAGTGTCTCCATTCCACGTGGTCGCATCCTCACAAGACAGCGTCAAAATGAGGTTCCTGAATGAATGTTCACGGCGATTCCCGAGCTGAAGAATACCGCTTTCCACAGACTCGGCAAACTTTCCAGCAGATAGACACGACAGTTCGACTGTCGTGACCGACAATGTCAGCTGTCTGTTCCACAGCACAAGTAGAGCAGGAGCGGGGACTTGCGTATGAGTTTTATTTTTACGCACTATCTGCCACACCCCCTCCCCCTCCTCTCCCACTTGACTCCTGTGTCAAGACATAGTTAAGAAGACCAGAGACAGAAGAGGGTGCGGGTGGCCGGCACAGCGAATACCCGCACCTAGGCGTACCACCATGTCCTCTAATCCACAAAGTGCACTGACCAGGGTTCTATGCCACAATAAAAATAAGGGCGGCACGGATCCCAAATGACGCGGCGTGGGCCTGCAACTTGGCGTTTCATTACACCCCGATGTTGGCATCTGTTACGGCTGTGCATTACCTTTAACGTCTGTCGGACCATGATTTGCCCAAGTCTTGGTTCAGCACATTTACCGCGTGGCCGGTTTCAGGGGCAAAGATAAACACACAGTACAAAAAATCACCCCCCTGCCCTAATCAAGGTAGCCCATACTAAGGCACTGAGGAAAATATATGTCCGTCAACAATTTAAATTCCTAAGGGATCCACTTCTTATGATTTTATCATTGACGAGAATATTTCATTTCTTTTTAAAATCCGCAGTTTCTATGGGTCAACTTTTGACATCCCGAGTTATCTCAGAATATAAAGTGAAGACCTTTTAACTCCTCCTGCTCCGAACTTAAACCGAACTCAATAGGATAAAGCCTCACAAAATGACCCTTTGTATAGTCCAGACACTTTTCACACCCACCAGAGGTATTTACACTGTATGATGTACAAAAGGGACCATCTGCCTCTCGTTTTTTCCGGCCGCATATAATTACGGCTGGTAAAGGAAGTTGGAACAGCCTAACTTTGAAATACCGCTTTTTTCACCCAGCTGGTGACAAATCGACAAATAGCAATTAACAGTTTCCACATCACGCCTCACGGACTGGGCGCAGCACTAGTGACTTGCGTTTGAATCAGCTTATTGTGACACAGCAGACTTGCGAGGAATCTACTTCACCATTCCCCTCCCCCTGCCACATTACTGCGATGACGAAATCGTGTCAAGGCCACCGGGGGGGTGGATGTGAGTGTGCTGACTGACAAGGCCAAACAGGCCGTCTACGCGTTCCACACACGACCTTATCCTTGCTCCGAATATCCCAGACAGCGGTTCCACAGAACCACCGACTGCGCAGCCGTTTCCGGTAACCTGCGCCTGCTTCGCTCCCGAATGAGCCAACAGAACACAAGCAAGTACCGAGATAAGCATTAAGAACTGCAAGCAGTGTTAGAATCCCAAAAGATGGTCTCCAGAGCTTACAGTCCATAAAAAGGATGACACTGGGGATGGAAGACAGTTTTTTTCACATCGCGAGACTCCTAAAGAACAGGAAGTTGAAAGCGTTGAACTTATGGGCGACCGACAGTTTTATTTGATGTGGACGGATATCCCCTGGAAACACGAAAGCAACTACGCGGCTTCCGATTATTTTTACGAAACAGTGACGAAATCGATCAGAAATTCCCTTCACCCCTACCCCGGCTTTGGTGTCCTTCTGACTTTACACGCCAAAAAACACATTTGATAAACGTATATCGAAAGTGAGGTGTGCACCTTTCTTACTGTTCCTACTGTGGCTCGATGAACGTCAATACGCTGCCTCAAATATATAAATGCAGAGGAAAAGTTGTCCGACCGGAGCAGATTATGGTGTCCTTTGACGTGATTTCATTATTCACGTCCATCCCACCGGACCTGGCACTCGACGTTCTTCGCAAACGACTCGAAGAGAATTACGACGAGACGAACAAACCCCTAAAAATCGACCACTTACTGCAACTGTTTGCTTTCTGCCAACAAACCTTCTTCACCTTCAATGGCAGAACATACGAGCAGATCAAAGGAACGCCGATGGGTTCGCCAATATCCAGCCTGGTTGCAGAACTAGTCCTGCAGGAACTGGAAAAAGTCGCCTTCGACCACTATGAACCTGCATTTTGGCGCCGGTACGTGGACGACACGTTCGTCATAATTGAAAGGAGCAGACTGGCCGACTTCCAAGACCTGCTCAACGGCATCTTCCCAGACATTCAGTTCACAAGGGAAGAAGAGCATGCCGAACAGCTGCCGTTCCTTGACGTTCTCGTCACACGCACACCCAACGGCAAACTCAACACCACGGTGTACAGAAAGGCGACTAACACGACTCAGATTCTCAACTACCACAGTAACCACCCAATGGCGCATAAACGCAGCTGTGTTAGGACACTCTTCCAGAGGGTAAAAACGCACTGCAGTGAACCAGAGCGACGAGTACGAGAACTTCGGCATCTTCGGGACCAACTGGCAAGGAATGGATACCCGAACAGCTTCGTCAGCCGCTGCCTCCGCACGCGCCCACGGCGAACAAACGGAGGAGAGCCGCCAACACTCTGGCACCCTCTGCCATATATAAAGAACGTACCCGAAGCGATGGAACGTATCGCTGGAGAGCTCGGCGTGGGTATCGCTCACCGTCCGACAGCGACCATGCGCAGCAAAATTATGCAAGTGAAGGATCGCCTAGACGTGGGTGAACAATCGGGCGTCGTCTATCAGATCCCATGTCGGGACTGCCCTCGCCACTACACTGGACAAACCGGACGACGACTTAGCTCACGAATAACGGAGCACAAACGGGCGGTCCGGAGAGGCGACCTGTTGTCTCAGGTCGCCACTCACACCCTGGAGGAAGGCCACGAATTCAACTTTGCGAGCACGCGGATAGTGGCGCGGGCCAGCAATAAGACAGGACGAGAACTGTTAGAGGCCTGGGTGTCTGACACCAACGCTATCAACAGGCACGTTGACATACCCCCCCTGCTATCACGCGCTCCGTTCCCGCGGCCAAGGGGCGAGACCCAATTTCCAGCCAAGGGTGCACGCAGTCACGCCACCGTGAGACGGCGTGGGACGCAAATTATCGCGAATACCACCCTCTGCACTCATATCTCTCCCCCCCCCCTCATGGCGTGACTACAAAACCCGCTCATTTTATGTTGCCTTCTCACAGTCTCTGACGATGGCCTCCTGTACGAGACCGAAAGCTCAGACTAATAAACCCACTGTCCCAGAGATCGAGTCTTCATCTTCTTTATATAAATCCAGTTTTCTTTCTGGCATGAACTAGACTAGTGGCATGGCTGTATATTCACACATTAGCCAGTAAACGCCCCTCAGTCTGACGGCACCCCCAGGCAATTCAAAAGCCCATTCGCTCCTGAGAATATATTGAAAGATCAACGAAGCCTTAACCGGGCCAGACTTATAGGAAGCGCATGAGTTTGCAAACTTGCGGCTTTGAACAGTCCAGCATAAAGCAGAATTATCAAAACTGCCGTCTCAGCTGATGTTGTCCACTCGCTCAACCCAGGAGTCCTGCCTAAGTGGCCTGCACAATGCAGCCACGCCCTGGAGGGCGCGCGCGCGCGCGCGACTAAATTCGTACATAATTAAGGCCCTGATGCCCGCGTATTGAACCTGCGAGAGTATGTTTTTCTGGCAATAATGAGGGATACTTATGCGAGGGCGGAGCTCAACGACATGTTTCTAGGGCGGAACATGGCCACTGTGGCTGCAAATCAGTATGCAGCCTCACTGAGTGGCAGCCAAAACGCCATCAGAAAAAAAATCAGGGCCATTGGGGCAGAAGGACTCCACGTGACTTGGCTGGGCACATGTCTCCTACGGGTGAAAATTGACTTCCACTCATAAATACCTGACTCGGTTTGGGAAAAATGACAAATTAGCTGTTTATGAGGCAAGAATGAAAGAGAATGGTTTGACTTAAAGAAAGGGAATTTGACAAAGTAGGCATTTGTGATGGAAATGCTATCTTTGGACCTACGAACGGAAACATTCGAATTCGTAGCATTGTCAATCCCCGGTCTTAACCGTTGATCGGAACCCCTCCCTTTCGTTATGGCGCCCTGAACTTGCAAATCGAAGATCGCTTTGGGATTTATTTTTAACTAGATATTTTAAAAAGCATTCGAACAATGCCTTAATCGAACTTGCATGACCGGGGGATAGAGCGAAGGCATGCGGTTTCGATTTACAGCTCAATCCGCGTCACTTGCTGGCCTAGTTACGGGCATTCGATAGGAGTCAGGTGTAACAGAGAGACGCAAAGTACACGTAAATAGTCATTTTTTGCCTGCTTGTCGTTAGTAGTCTGTCGGGGTCTAATTCCAGACTGGGCAGAATTGAGATACGAATTCGGACTAGACTGATGCCAGGGCTTCGCGTTCTACTGGTGGCGGTTCGCCTGTCGAAAACAACGAACTCTACTGCGGGACCCATGGAGTGCCTGAATTGGCTTTTAGGGATGCAGACTTGCGCAGCATCTATCGCACTCGTTTATCTCCAGCCACCTGAGTCTCGTGGCAAGGCACAGCCAGGACTATCAGAGACGGGCTTGACGCAGTGGATGACAAAGCTAAGAAGCCCGTCTACGCCCGTGCCAAGAATGACCTAATTTCCGATTTAGGTTAGCAGGCCTCTCCCGGGGCAGCTGAGATCTCACACGCGCGAGAGTGTCGTGGAGTCCGCATTCAGAAGGAACCACTGAGCCCAACTCTCAGTCCTCAGAGGACCGAGTTACCCCCTTAATTGGCGGCCCTCCAAGCCACAACGCTCAGCGCGTCGTGATACATTCAAGCGCGTCATAATTATTATAGTGAGGAATGCTCTACTATGCCGCAGAGGTGGATTTCCAAAGTCACCCTCGAAGGAGGAAGCACGATCGCTGGGACAAAGGCGTTACTAGCCTGACTTTTCGGATTCCTGCTTGAACCCATCATCAGAGACAAAAGCAGATAGGGGTAGTTCATGAACAAGGGGGTGCAGTATTTATAGGATGCAGTCGCTATGCTATTGCATACTTATGTATGTTCACGACTCCCCCCTTCATCAGGGATCGTTGCACGTGGCGTGATGATTGTCTGATGGCCGAAATTTGCGTCGTTAATTGCTGCAATCTCATCACATGCGTTGGCTGTTGGTGTGATGATTGCTCGACCATCTGACGCACCGACCCTGACGTTGGGAAAAGTGTTTACCTGTTGCGCTCCCCACGTGGCTAATTACTCCATCTGAGCAAAGTCTCAGCACTGAGTATGGAGGGGGAAGATCACTGCACTTTTTAATGGAGTGGAGGCTTCCTGGGACTCGTCCCTTCGCTTCTACTGCAGAGCCAACCACATTTCCAGGCATCCGACCACAGTTCGAGAAAGCCAGCTGGGACGAAACGCACATGTTGTCACGGCGTGTAGCCTGCGTCTAAACCTGCCACCACATCCCTCATGTAAGCGATGGGTCCGCACAGACACATCGCAGCCTGATTATCCCAGTCCAGCTTCCGTTCTGGTCAAACAATCCAAGCAACCTCTGCAGGTCGCGATCCGGAATAGTTAGGGGTCACACAGAAGCTTTGTACAACCAGCTATTTTGATTTCAAGACGAAACAGGTGTAAGCACGTTTTGCTTTGTCGCTCCGGCCTAGAATTCTCGAAGGCTGATGCATAGAGGCATGCAGTCAGTAGACGGCAAAGGTTAGGCTTTAAGGATTGTGGGCGTATGCTATGCCACACTTCCAGAAAACCATGGCCCTTGTAATTTGTGTGCGCTGGCAATTCTCTGGCACCTGGTCCCCTGTCGGTATTTGTGTTTGTGCTCCCGCTGGGTATACAGGTCGTGCGCATGGTTGCCTAGCGACTTATGCCATCCTCTCCGCTTTCTGACCTGGTTTGGAAAGCTGCCAAACTGAAGGATATCTCGAGATTTGCAGTCGGCCCAGTATATGTGTATGCGGTTAAGAGGTCTGACAGCGTGTGCTATGCCAGTATCAGCAAACCATGGCCCTGGTATGCGCTGGCAGTTCCCTGACACCTGGTTACCTGCCAATAGGTGCACTTGCGCTCCCGCTGAGTATACAGGTCATGAGTATGGCTGCCCAGTCATCCTCGTCGTCATTCTGACCCCCTGTGGTGCTGCTGTTATTGGTTAGGGTCCTGGTCAAGTGTTTGCTGCGGACCAGAGAGTGTGGTGGTACGTCTAGGTGCGGATCCGGCCGCGCCAGCCCATGCGTCCTCTCCCACCTCCGGTCTTCTTGACTTGGTCATGACAACGGGCCTAGGTACAGCATGTATCCGCTCAAAGGGGATAGAAGAGCCCACGCAGGCACTTCCATGTGGACAGAAGCGCAGAAGCAACGTAAACCCAGATCAATACCCGGTTCAGTGTGGAGGCGTAGGAACGCTGAATATACAGGTCATGAGCATGGATGCCCAGTCATCTTCGTCGTCCTTCTGAGCCCTGTTGGGGTGTTGTTGTTGTTGGTCAAGGGTATGTTGTAGATTAGGGGATGTGGTGGCATGTCTAGGTGCAAAGCTGGCCGTGCCAGCCACCTGCGCCCTTCCCCCCCCCCAGTCTTCTTGACTCTGTCTTGACACGGGGTCCGGGTGGGTGAGGAGAAGAGAGTGCGGCAGATGCTGTGCAAGTCGGCTATCATTATAACTAAATTCACGCACAAGTTCTGTGCTTAATCTCACCATGCTTTGGAGCACACGGTGAACATCGTCAATCAAGACGATTAAACTGCCGTAAATGGAAAACGTTACCGAATATGCTAGAGAGAAATCGCGCCTGGCCTATTCATTGTTGTCAGTGAAACGGTAACTTTCACCAATTTCATGCTGTGGCCAGCAGCCATAGATCAGCTACTCGTACGTACTTGTAAATACTGAGCAATTTTGACTGTACGAACCATTGATTCTTCCATAAATTCGATTGCTGGATATGTATGCATTGGCTTGTAGGAAGAAATCAGAGTTTTCGCTTAGTTTGCGCTAATGATGGACTTTTGAGATTAGACCCTATCTTTTTATGAAGGAAACTAATGGCACAACGGAAACACAATCACCCTCACCACTTGGGATTCATGCTTGTTCGGGCGTTAATTTCTTTCGTTGATTAGAAGTCTGGTTTTTATTGTTGGCACCGGAAATGCTTCTTCGGCCAGTATGTTAACCATACTCACCCGGTCTACAGTGGTTCGACGAACACTCGACTGTCTTCCCAGGAATTATTGGTTTGAAAGTATCCCCTTTCTACTTATTTACTTGGTGGCAGCGTATGCTACAATTCCGCGGAAAAAACAGACTTGGTACTTTTCTACGACAACACAAAGGGGATTTAATTCAGAAGACAAAGTGGCGAGCAAACGCTGCTTTCGATAACTTCTGGTCAGGCCAGTACAGTTATATAGGACGGGGTACCGTGAGTGAAAAAATCGATAAAAGTTTGTTCTTAAAATACAGGCTAGGCAAAAGTCGAATGACGCAGAAAGTTGTATATGGTTAGTCAACCTTTGACCACGGTAGGCGCGGATCCTGAAAGAGGTTCTTCTGGACGTATACGGTCGGTTTTCGTTACCTGATGGCGGCCACTTCTGCTGTTGCTAACAGGCGCTGGTCCAGTAGCCTAGAGTAGCTCGAGGGGACCTTATAAACCAAACGAAATGCTTCAGCGGGGTCTACACGATGCCCTGGATCCACTGCATGCGCAAGGATGGCGTTGTCTATTCTCCTGGTTTCGCCTTTTACCAGCCATGCGGGAAGGTGCTCTCGTATTCTTTTGAAAAGGTGCCGACTCGTACGATCAATATAATCTGTTCCAGAGGAGCAAGTGAATGAGTAGATGCACATTGAGGCGGTCTGAGGTGGCAGCCTATCCTTGCCTTCTCCGCGTAAAATAGGGTTAGTAGGGAATGATATGCGGACCCTTGCTGCTGGGAAGGTGCCCGTGACAGCTTCGTCAAAGCGTCTTCTTAGGAGGTCACTCGTAGCATCTCCTTGGAAAGGGTCTTGGAGGAACAAGGTTTTCTTTTCGGCGGTCAGTGTGGTGGGTTTTGCGGGTCGTTCAGCAAGGTTCTTGGCAATGACTTAATGCAAGCCATACGCTAATGGATTCATTCA